CCATCACTTCATAAGTATCATTATCATAATCTTGGGCACTAACAAGGGGCCCTTGGATTTTGCTGAACCGTTACATAGATAAACGCTTTTACTTGATTTTGAAGCTGTTTTGTTATGATAACTGCTGTTTAACGCCGCAGTACGCGTTCCGAATGTTATCACAAGAATGCTGAGTTGTGGGCAAAAGTCGTGCCCCAGGCGGGTTCGACTCCCGCCTGGGGCACGACTTTTGCCCACAACTCAGCATTCTTGTGATAACATTCGGAACGCGTACTGCGGCGTTAAACAGCAGTTATCATAACAAAACAGCTTCAAAAATCAAGTAAAAACGTTTATCTATGTAACGGTTCAGCAAAATCCAAGGGCCCCTTGTTAGTGCCCAAGATTATGATAATGATACTTGATGAAGTGATGGCGAGAGTCATCTTAATGTTTCAAGATCGTTGCTCCCGAAGGTTGGACTCCACGGCCAACCAAGGGAAAGTATGCGTATAAGGATGACCAAGTGGAACATTTCGTTATACAAAGGTATCACCTTTTTTTGCTGCAGACTAGTTTCTAGACTGTTTCGATGAAAGAATGAAAAATAGCTCTGATTGCAGCCCCGTGAAGGAATCGGTCGCTCGTCAGAATGAGGCCATTCTCAAAAGTAATCATGTCTACAAGAAGTCCATGTTAGCATCGGAATATCGGAAACTTGCCCAAAGTTCGAAATACCGTAATCCGTGTCCCGATCTGCAGGGCAAGGATATCGAAATGTTGGTCCTAACGAATATTACTTTAATTCGAAGGCATGAAAATTACAATTTTTTCAGCCAATATTTCAAAAATATGTTTACATCGCATCCGATTTATGGTGCCGACACTGAAGGTTCTTTCTACGATGAGGGTGTGAACGAGTTCAATATGAAGAAGCTTGAGACCATTCTGGACGAGACAAAGGACGCTACTGGAGGAAAAGTTGGTTTAGTGTTCTTACATACTGTTTACTCGGAAAATATGGTTCATTCCTCTTCTCTTTATTGCCTTTTTGAAGGCTCAAATCCTTATTCCAACCATCCACACGGCGGATCCCCTAGGGCGTCACCATACTCTGAAACCGCTCTTGGAAGAATCTGCGCCAAGGGAAAGTGGAGTGTTTCTTTCTTTTCTTTCTTTCTTTTCTTTCTTTCTTTCTTTCTTTCTTTCTTTCTTTCTTTCTTTCTTTCTTTCTTTCTTTCTTTCTTTCTTTCTTTCTTTCTTTCTTTTTTTCTTTCTTTCTTTCTTTCTTTCTTTTCTTTTTCTTTCTTTCTTTCTTTCTTTCTTTCTTTCTTTCTTTCTTTCTTTCTTTCTTTCTTTCTTTCTTTCTTTCTTTCTTTCTTTCTTTCTTTCTTTCTTTCTTTCTTTCTTTCTTTCTTTCTTTCTTTCTTTCTTTCTTTCTTTCTTTCTTTTTTCTTTCTTTCTTTCTTTCTTTCTTTCTTTCTTTCTTTCTTTCTTTCTTTCTTTCTTTCTTTCTTTCTTTCTTTCTTTCTTCTTTTCTTTCTTTCTTTCTTTCTTTCTTTCTTTCTTTCTTTCTTTCTTTCTTTCTTTCTTTCTTTCTTTCTTTCTTTCTTTCTTTCTTTCTTTCTTTCTTTCTTTCTTTCTTTCTTTCTTTCTTTCTTTCTCTTCTCTCTCTTCTTCCTCTCTTCTCTCGCTCTCTTCTCTCCTCGGTCTGGCGCGTGCGGCTCTCTGTCGTTGCGGGGTCTCATCTGCTCTCTCCTTCCTCTCCTCTCTCTCTCTCTCTTTCCGCGCATTCTCTAGAACGGGGCTGAATTTTCGCTGATTGCTGGCTTACACCTTCGGTGGGGGGGCGCACAATTCATTCCCGATAACAGTTATTTTTCACCGTTCAGCAAAGGCTCCAAAGGGGTTATTGAGTAACCCTTACTTGAAATATCTCGAGTGCTGAGGTAACAGAAAGGTCTGGAGTGGTGGGGTGGCCTTTGCGGTCAAGCGTGAGCAAGATGGCCGGCCGCCCCCCCTTCCCTTCTCTTTCCCTGCACAGATTCTCTCAGGTGCGACAGTGACGACCCTCTTCCAAGCCCAGCTTCACCTACGTAACCCTTTCGAATCGTTCAAAACGAGTACGGCGACGGGAGTAACACTCGTTGATCTGGCTTTGAAATACTGGTTGCTGCGCTATCAGTAGGTGGGGGAGGGTGTTACGTTTGCGGGTTACAAGAGGACATACCCTAATTTGGGTATGCGATGTGCGGTTCGTTAATCTCCTCTTCAGTGCGATTAAGATGTATTGGCTTATTTTCCTATCTTTGGTGCGCGGAATACGTTGCAGGTTAAAGGCCAAAGAGTGAATCCGGTCTACCTGTAATTTGGGAATTGTATGGAGCCATCTTTGATGGATGTGGCAGGACATGGCAAGTCTATCTCTATCATTCCTTCTCATGGCTCACAAGGTCGATGGTTTGGAGGCAAATCGTTCTGACGAATATTCCACAGATTTAATAGTTTCCAGTACTGGAGTTGCGATTCCTCAAAGCTCTCCACGTTTCGACAAGACTTATGCGACAACAAGTATCGCCGGCGTAGGGGATGCAATGCAAGTATTTTTTCGGGAATTTGGGGTACTGTCATTGATGCGAGGCAGTACAGTAGGCAGGGCATTGAAGTAGGCAGTGGCCACGATTGCTGCGAGACAGGCGGTATTGGTCCAGACGTCACTGGTGGAAGGCTGCGGGGTGGGCGTCCGGTCACACTCTCCGCTCAGCGCTTCCACCAATCACGTTGACGACAACAGCACGCCTCCAACCTTTGTGCCCGCTACCTTTATGGGACTCCTTGTGCAAAACTGGGATCACTATGGGGATCCTCAAAACCCATATGCACAACTGGGATGCTCAAAACCCATATGCACAAAATGGTTTACTCGCAGTGTCCTACCTCTTTAGCTTATGCGAAAATCTTCACATCCAATATAGCGATCCCAATTTTGCCCAAGGATTCCGTTAAGTATCCCTGTCTGCCTAATCTACTAATATCTGTGTATTCGTTTTTAGGCTTTCATGCGGCACAAAAACTTCATGGTTCTTCCATCTCTACTGGACAAGCATAAAATCCCCTATGGTACCATGATTCAGTATCCCAATGAATTTATAATAACATTTCCTCACGTGAGTTGGTTCCACTAGAGATCCTGTCCTATTTGCCGAAAATCCATTGCGTTTAGGGATATCATATGGGCTTCAATCTTGGATACAACATTGCCGAGAGCACAAACTTCGCTACAGATCGTTGGATTGACTTTGGGAAGAACGCTGTTTTGTGCAAGTGTCGGTCAGACATGGTGGAAATCGATATGACGGTATGTCTCATGTCCTAATCTGAAAGTTTATTATCTTTCTTCTCCTTCTGAGCGTTTTCTCAAAGAAAGATTTCAGCCATTCATGAAAAAATACCGGCGAGATAACTTCGAAAAATGGTATTCGTATTGGTATTTACCAAAACCAACCGCAGAAGTCCCACTGAAGAGTCAGCTTCAAATTCTTGACATCTTTTCTCTAATTTATGGCCATTAGATTACTGTATAATGTACACTCTACTTCGCTGCGGACGGTTGGGCGTGTCAGCCAGTATGAGTGTGCACAGCGTCAAGGCCGTTCTCTGCCTTCTTGTTGAAGCGCGCATGCGACAAAAAGTGGTAGAAAACGAGTAATACGATCGATATGATACAGTCATATCATTTGCTCGCTTTAACAACTGGTGGAGAACGGTTTGGCACCGCGCCAAACGCAGCCGCACTGACACGCCCAACCGTCCGCAGAGAACTACACTATAGTATAACCGCGATTCCAGAGAAAAAGAAAAAGCGTGAAGAGGCAGGTTCTATTGAAAGTTTCTCAAATGGAGGTGCGAAAAGACGACGTACCAGCGAAGGGAGTGAGATCACAGGTTAGTATTGCGTTGGACTCTTCTCGTTAATCATTCTGTATTTTATGCTCTTCCTTTCTGTTTTCTTGTTCTCATGAAGTCTGGGCTAGGAAAGATATCACTTAGTCTTTTGTAGAACTTTTCCTGCGTGTTTTATTTTCTGATGTTACTATAGTTGCAAGCGATCAAGCTCTCGCTCGGCTGAATGCACTCATTGCGCTCTGAGGCTTAGCCGTCTGAACTCTGTTCGGCTGCTCTGTTCTAAAGCGCAGCTTGGACAAAGGAAGTGATCTCTGCCTCCTTGAGAGGACGTGGAAAAAGGAGGTAGAACCCGCATGTGTTGAGGTTCGTTCATTTTTTACAACCTATAGTCGTAGTAACTCGTGCGGGAAGAAAAGCCAGAAAAAATCCTTAGATGACGCTTAGTCGACCCTGCAGTGTTCACTATTAGATTTGGTCGGACCTGCTTTTTTGCTTGCAAAGATTCCTGCCGCCTTTGACACAGATTACCTTTACGTGAAGAAGAACGGAACGTGTGAAGATCGAACACTGCAGAAAGATAGCCTGCCAGCCGTGGGCCACTAGGGAGGCGTGGATGCACCCATAAGACCGCAGCGCCTTCGTTACCTATTATGGAGCCGCGAAAGCGGGGCAGTCCTAGAGACTGCCAGCAAGACTACTTGAACAAAGGAGGACGCCCACGTTTCGACTGAGCGCGTAATTGTCTTAAAAAATGAAAATTAGAAACAATATCAGAACGGTTGATTTCTGCTCCTGCTTCACGGTTCGATCGATAAATATTTGATGCTGGTTCAAATCATTTTACAGAAACCGTATCATCGCATGGTTCACGTAGTTCTGAAACAACTGAGTCGCAGCTGTCACTTCGTGAATCTTGGAAGCACCGAATTAGTGAGTAATTTGCTGAGAACGTGTTTACGTGGTATTTCTCCGATGCTTCGCTTCTCTTCATGAAAAACTCGTTGTTTTTCCATATTCAGATGCAATTTTTTGATGTCTTTCAGATACAGATTTTTAATTTAGCAATGCTATGGTCCAATGAGCCGGTGAATTTCTTTGCGGAAAGAACATTTAATCAAGCTGCCGCTCGTATTTGGCCCTATTGTGCTGTGTGTCAATACTTTCAACCAATTCATATGTCGACAGCTGCCACAGAAGTTCCAGAGAGGCACGTTTTCTCCTATCTTCATTGTTTACTCTGCCCTTTTATTTACGTGTTTAAGGTCTCCGCGACTAGCGTTTGGCCTTTGTTTTGCAAAAGATCCGCGACGTCTTCCCAATGTGGATCCAACAGAAGATCGACTTTTGACATGCTCCAATTGCTGTGTGACAGTTCATCCTTCGTGTTATGGTGGCCAGTCTGCTATACCAGTAATGGGTGGTATGTTGTACTTATTGTGGTGCTTATGTTTGGAAAGAATCATTTACACTTAATGCCGTTGCAGTCAGTCGAAGCAGTTTCAATAAGAAAAGCGTAGCTCCACCCTAATTGTTTTCTTCTTGAATCGGCTGGATCATCACTGATAAGGCAAGGCTGTTAGAGGCGGCTCGCTCCTTCTTTCTGACACCGCCCCGACCGACTGCGATGGTATTAAGTATAATCTCCGCCGCCGACTATCGCCGTAGTGCCGAAACAGCAGTGAGTAGAGGAACGCTCGTTGACCATAATAGGATCGGTGTTGTTAAACGTCATTCTCTCTCTCTCTCTCTCTCTCTCTCTCTCTCTCTCTCTCTCTCTCTCTCTCTCTCTCTCTCTCTCTCTCTCTCTCTCTCTCTCTCTCTCTCTCTCTCTCTCTCTCCCTCTCTCCCCTCCCTCCCTCCCTCCCTCCAATTAGGGCAAATTTAACAAAAGCAACGAGGTGGACAGATTACCTTTTGTGTTGCCATTGTTGCGCCCCTCATTGCTCTGTCAGTGGAGGTATATTAAAAGTACAAAGAGTGGGTGTCTACCACCTATTCGGTAGTCGCGGAATCTGTCTTTAACCACTTGCCACCTGATGGAGTTACCACTTGTTGTGAAGATCTGCGCGAGTTGACCTTTCGAACGCGAGCCAAGAATCAAACTCATTCCCTTCAGTTCCTGGGTTGCTCTCCGCTGCCCAAGAATCGGAATGACGTTGCTATTCGAGGTACTTCATGCCACCTTTGTGAACTTCGAGGTGGTGCGCTCTTACCATGTCGAGCTGGCGCAGATATATTGCTTTGTGCATACAGTTTGTGCATTCATTCGGTTAGTTCGCCAGATCGGTGGAATTTCACTGCCTTTGAAGGTCTCTTTCTTAGGCTACGTTCATACAAGTCAACGTTTGAAGCGTACGACAGCTTATTTTAGCGAATTCGAGCGACTAGAAAGTATAGGATCTTTTGACTACCGTCGGAGTCCGTAATCCGCTCCTTCTCGGATAGTTTCCGGTGTTTTTTAGCTTTTGGGCGGATCAGAACGCCGACGCAAAGTGTGAACGCAGCCCTAATGATACTGTTTTCATTTAGAATGACTCAGTAAGTCTAAAGAATATAATTCAAATCCACATGGGCATTTATTTTGCGTGCCATTCAATCTTTAATTGAATCTAAACACGCGAACGACCCATATCTTATAAAAATAAGCTCCTTTGAAGACTATGCCTCGACCGGCTGCTGCGGATTCCGAAGCAGAACAGAGGCAAACCTTGTGTCTAAGAGAGACGGTCGTCAATAAGTATTGGACACCTGGCGTAATTGGCGGAATGCCCCTTTGCTTTCCGATATGTACTGTACGTACTGTACCTGTTGCCCATTTAAGGCGAACTGTTTTCAACGACGCGAACAATCCTTCGTGCTGCTACACTCATCCTCCTTCAAAGCAAACATCAATCAATGGAGTGCTGTAAGTCTGTGTTCAATTGTTTTGTTATGGTAGTGTCTGCTTAACGCCCGCAGTACATTATGAAAAAGACTAATTTATTGCAAAGTCTTGACCCAGCGGGTACCTGAAACCCTCACCTCACGTTTTCTGGCGAGCCCGGATCTGTTACGTCGCCAGGACGCTCTTACCCCCTCATCCTGATAATCTATTTTCAGTCTTTTATCGTTGTATTTTCTATATAATGACGTGCTTCCAGGAACTACTTGCCAAGGGATTATGTTTTCGAGATGGGCGATGAATATGAAACATCCCGCTTTCAGTGGAGACCCTGCCCCTGCCCACATACGAATGCTATTATGTGGTCATACCAGAGAAGGCCTTGAGATTTCAGCAATGCGACGAGGTAATCTATTAAACCCCCAAGGAAGCCAGCGACCACTCTTATTTGTTTAGAATGGCGACCCTGTCTTGGCGCATGCCACATGTGCACGACAAGCTGGATTCTTGTTCGAAAGGCGCACCTTTCCTCAGATAACTGTCATGATTTTGATCGACACCAACAATCCGAAGGTGATCTTTCGTTTTATCTTGTTTCTGATTATATTTCAACCTTAATATTTTTTTGACTTCTGCTTTTTTTACAGAATCTTTGATGAATGTTTTTCAAAAGGTGAAATATTTTTATGGAATATTTACAGTAGTTTTGTGTAAAAACTGTTCGATACTTCTGAATTGTAAAGCTCGAAAGATACATTGTACGGTTCACTTGCGAGGTGGATTCTTATCCGCTCCTGGATGAATTTGGAGGGCAAATAGGCTTACAGCACTAGAAGTGTGGCGTTTCGACCATTCGCAAGTGCGAAGCCAGAGTTGTGACAGTTCTTTCATCCTCATGTCTCCGCTCTTACAGATTGCGGGCTCGCGCGCCTTAGCTAGCAACGGCCTGTAATACGTGAGCGGGCGTAGACACTGGATGAGAGCGCGTTCAGACTTCGCGATCGCGCGATCCGATCGCGCTACTGGGATGGGTGAAATTCACACCGGGGGGGGGGTCATGTTTGTTCATGTTTATTGTGTTTATTTAAAAGAGAACAGGAACAATAAGCATGAACAAACATGACCCCCCCCCGGTGTGAATTTCACCCATCCCAGTAGCGCGATTCGGATTCGCGCGGATCGCCAAATCTTGAACGCGCTCTGACAGGCATGTGACTTTGTTAGATATATAAGCGAGGACGTATGAGTGGCGTGTAGCTTTGCAGGCGTTTCGGAGTAGGAGGGTGGGGATGTAGGAAACATCAAAACCAGTACAAGTCTTTGGCTTTATAGCCGTGTACTTCGAATACGGAAAAATCCTACATTTTTTCTTATTGTAGCTGTCCAGCTCCTGCTCCCCTGAAGGATCCACCTTTCGGGTACTATTATAGTATGTCTATGAGTCGCGGTCGTTAGACGAAAGTATACAATATCTTGTCTAGACTTAGACTAGCAGTTTGACACGTCCTACAGTGCTTAGTTTTTTAATTATGTGTTATAACGTTAGTTTTTTATAATTATACGACGCGCGTCCTTGCGCGCTTTTTCAGAGCCGTTTGGTCTCCCTAACTGAATGGTCTTGACGAAATGCAGCTATCCTACCGCGACGTGTCTGGGTGCCATCTCAGAAAGCTTAGACCAATTATTTAGGCTTCTCTCTGTGAAAAGGTGGTATCATGGGCCACTGAAACAACGATTTGGTCCAAAAGTTAAGCAGCTTGAATAAGCGTACCACCTAGCCACCTCATGGGGCGCAGAACAAGTAGAAATAGAACGCTCGCAGTTGACATGCTGTGGTTGCAAGAAGAGAAGTTGAAGAATCTTTTGTTTGCTCCCTCCAATTTCTTTTAGTGCACATGCGCTTGTAGCTGACCAAATCACGTTCTCGTTAAGGGCCATGACGCAAAGAAAGGAGGTTTGCTGCTGCCGAAACCCAAAGCTTAACAGGATCCCCGGAGACTGAGGATGGCATTTTCTCTGAAGGAGTAGACTCTGGGGTGGATAAGCTAGCTTATTAGGCGTGAAAAACTCAAAATCTGTAAAGTCACAGAATGTGCAGGTAACGCCCAGAGAAAACCAGAAAAAAAGAAGCCGGATAAAAAAAGATTGAAGTCCAGTTGTCCGTTGACCTCACCAAAGTACTCTGGCCGCTTAGTATTTCCAAGTTGTTTCGGCAAAGAAAAGCACCACATTATTTTATTGATTCATAAATGTGTATTAGTAAGTGAAATATGTGTAAACTGACAAAATGAGTATATTTCAGACAACCCTTATGAAGTGAAAACATCAGGTCAGGGATAATACATGTTTGAATTTTTCTTTTAAATTTCATATTTGCATTTGTTAGACTTATAGTCTGATACAAGATATCAAACATTGAAGAGATGGGTTGGTTTACAGTGGGACCGCTGATGGATGTGAATTTGGGTGACATTGTGATAGCGTGGATGGACGGTGGTTCTCGGGTACGACAGGGCAGGGTGGAACGTTTTGTGCTACGAACACTGCTAACGATCGACTTTGAAGACGGATCAGTTTCGGAAAACACATTGCCAAGTGACATCGTGCAATGTGGCTGCATACGGCAGCAGGGTTGTCGCGATGGACAACATCAACCTGGCAGCAGGGTGCGTTAGCATGCTAAACCAGCCTAGTTGTACGGGTGTATGTCGGAGGGTGCGCAGCGGTCATAATTGCCACCCTCGCCAGGTCTCCGCATATAGTAGTCTGTACCGCACAACTCGTACACATCACTCAATCTCTTGGTATGATTGATCGCTCTACTTTGGCTGGACGCCAACGCAGACGCTAAATTGTGTAACGACAGCGAGATTAAACAGTTTCGTCGTTTTGAGCTGCAAGTGAGGACGAAAGAGGACAAAAAAATAGCTCGAAAACAGACGAAACTGTTTAATAGGGCGTCGGTACGCAGTTGGGCGCCCAGGCTGGGCCCTATCAAAGTAGCGCGGTCAATAGCGTCAATCAAGAGGTTGGCTGATGTGGACGAGTTGCCCGGAGCAGACTCTGGTATGCGGAGGCCTGGTAAAGGTGTAGTTATGGCCACGGCGCACCATCCGGCCGTCTGCCTAGTTGTAGTAGTAGTGTGTGTAACTGCACGTGTTGTTGTGCTTACTCTTTGTACTGCACTTGTAAGAAAGTTAGTTAGTCTGCTTGATGCTTCAAATCCCAAAATACTGGCTGATACGGCACAACGACCTCTTTTAGGTTAAAGTGCAATGGAACGACGGTGAGCTATACGATGGGTATTACCGATGTATTTCGAAGACTATTGAGTATACAGTAGTATTTGCCAACGGAACATCAGCTCGTCTACCAAGAGCTGACCTCTATGGTGCCGATGACGTAGTACCTGCTGAAGTTCGAAGACGTTTGCGCAAATCGCACTGACATTTCCTTTTCATCGATGATCCCTGTAAATGCTTTATATAGTCATCATTTTGGTTTAATAATGGCAATTGAGATGCATTTAGTGTAGGTTTGATTTGTTGGAGCTGTTCGGCTTGGTAGAGGCATTTTGCGCGTCCGCTGGTTCCTTTTTAAGAAAGTTACATTTTGCTAAGACCTGTAAACTCATGTTAAACTGCAGAATGGTCTAAGTGAGCAACTTTGGTTGCAGGAATTTACAGGTCTTCACAATGTAGCTTTAGCGAGCTTCGCTAAAGAGCGTCATACTTTGCGTCAGCGTTTTGAGAGTTTCGCGGTAGTTCTGAACTTTTCGCGGGCAGTTGCTGAAAAGCTGGCGTGCGCTAGATCGATACCCATACTTTCCTAGTCGGTCGAGACGCTCGAAAGGTTGATGCAAAGCATGAACGCAGCTAAGTACCGCTCGATGCCCGCACCAAGCCGAATTGTGCCATTTTCTTTAATATGTAGGCAGGTACTCTAAACTGAGGCTTCGAAGCCATATTTTCGATTGATAGTATCTCAGCCATGGCTATGCGGGTTCTCGTGGCAATAATTGATTGCTATGCTTTCTATAGCTCGGTTTGTCGTCTTTAAATGTTTGTTCTTCTTAGTCAGAAACTTTCACCCTCTAGGGAACTTTGTGTCAATTTCTTGTAACACTTGTGCTGATTGTTTGTTTTTTTAGGCATAAAAAGTTAGCGAACTTGCTTTAGTGTGTTTTCGCAACGTACCGTCAAGCAGTACTTCATTGGCTAATGCCGTTTGGACTGCAGAAATTTCGGCTCCGAGCTCATTTTCGAATTGATTATACCACCAAATCCAAACCAAATACAAACGAACCACAAACATAATTACAGGGATTACTCAGCATCCTGATTACGAGTATGTCTGTCACTTATCCTTGACGCTGGCGCCAAAGAGGACAGTACGATTATCCCGGGCTCAGAATTAGCAGAGCGCAGGTAATCGTAAATGTCCATCCATTAGCGCCAGCGCCAAAAATGAATGGCATATTCGTGATCAGGATGTTGAGTTACCCCTATATACAAGTTTTTAGCGGATTTGGTGAACTTGCCATTTTTAAAATGAGCTCGGAGCCGAAATTTTTGGAGTCCAAGCGGCATTAAGCTAGCAAGTGAGCGCTCACCGCGACGGTGGCCGTTCCCATACGACCACGGCCGCCGCTTGGGCGAGTCGTTCCGGTGATTGCCTTGACGGGAAGCCGAAAATATTTCAGGAGATTAATGCATCGTTGCTACTTCCGTCTTCTTACTTCTGGCACTCCTGCGCTCTAAACATGCCCGCCACAGATCCGTCTAGCGACCCACTCTTACGCGCTCTGCGACTCTTACAGCGATTCGATAAATTGCTGACGGCTACTCAATCACCGATCCTGCCCGCATTTTCGCATCTTATGTTATGCTAGATTTTAGCTTGTTAAAGATGAAATTTTTCGACTTTTGATCTCAATGTTCGAAGGTGAGTATCCTTACTGAAAGTATTCCACATTTTGAATGAATTAAGCATGAAATTCCCTAGGAAACTTGCTTTTCTTTCTGATTTTCGCAATTTCTCCAAACTTTTCCTTAATATCCCCATTTATTTTATGATATTGACCGAGTTTTCAAAGCAGTGTCTCAGATGATCTCGCTATTATCGAGAACCATCTCTGACACTTTTTTGAAGCTCGAAGTTGCCTTAATGGTTCCCAGTTTCATTTTTTTATTTTCCAATTTAATGCTGAATTCATGCAAATGTGATATAGATTTCCAGTAAGAATACTCACGCTTCGAACATTTGAAGTCATCAGAGTTGAAAAATTTCAGCCCCGCCTTTTTTTAAATAACAAGCTGAATCTAGCAAAAATACTGCGAAAATGCGGCAGGAATCAGCTGATCGAGAGAATTCGATCGGTAAGAGCCCAGAGCGGAAGAGTGGGTAGACGGTGCGGCGGCGTGTGTTAGAGCGCAGAGTGCAGAGTGAGAGAAGCAGAGGCAAGGTTTTTGCGGCCATCCACCGACAGGCAACTATCGGGCCGCTCGCCAGCGTGGCCTTAGGACCGCCCCACCGTCCGCTGAGAACTGCACTGTACTTCATTTGTTCGAGGGTTTCACGGCGTTTTCTCTTATTAGTGTGGATACAACTCTACCTCAAACTAAAATGAGTTCAGCGAAGAATGCTGATGGGGTTCAGCTTATATGAAGATTCTACCTGGAAGAAGTTTGGCGTTTTGCACTCAGCACCCCCCCCCCCCTTCCCAAAACCGCTCAACTGCAACCCTTTTGATGGAGATACCTCAACCAAGCCGTGCACTAATCCATAAGCTGCTTTTTTTTTAAAGGAGACGGGCTAGTTATGCTCAATAACGGCAGTTTTGTGGTGATGGGAGGATTACCAAGGCGGATTACTTCAAAGTACTTCTGAGCCAGAGCCACTGCCGGTCTGCGGAGAGTTATTTATAGCGACTCTCAGTTTTGCTCTGTCGGGAAAGCATTCGAAAACATTCCAAATTGCCCAAGATCCTGCTATCTATTGATTTTGGCATCGGTATCTGATTTGTACCCTCCAAAGTTTAGATACATTATTTTCTGGGTTATAAGGCGCATCTATTGGCATGGTTGCGACAACGCGCGCGGAGGGTTCCTAGAGATACCAGTAGATTTTTAGTCTTTGTTTCTTGTGTGTTAATCCCCTGATTGCCTTTGAAACATTCATGGTCAAAAATGTAATCACTCTAATTGATAAGAAAAAACAATAATTGCGCAACAGGAAAGCCTGGAAAAATGTTCGCGGCGCTGGCAAAGGCGCTTTCCTCCCAGAAAGTGGTATCTTAACGTTTCGGCCCGATGTCCCTTCGTCGGAGCCTGAAAAGCCAGAAAAAATACGGGATTTTTTTCAACCGGAAATTTCGTTCCAAAGATGAAATGTTTTGCTAGCAAGCTTGATATCATCTGATAGGAAACTTCACGTAGTTTTAGAATATCAAAACGGCTTTGGTTGAGGGAATAATTTTTGTGGATTTTTTAGTCGTTGAAGTTGAAAGCGAAGTCGGCGAAAATTAGCACCTTCGACAACTGCCTCTATTTACGTCTACTCGAAGTGATAAAATCGGTTAAGCTGCTCCATACATTTGGAAAAGGTTGAGCTAGAAGTTCCAGCAAGGGAATCTCACTAGGACGCTTTGGAACGAATTTCAAGAATTTTGAAGTTACCAACCTTCACCTCGCCGATATTGGGCAGCTCACGTCTGTTCCACCTGAAATTTTATGCTAATATTTGAATGTTTCGCTGATATGTTTTCCATGCTCTGATAGCAAATTTCATGCTCTATAACACTGATATAAAAATCTGTTCTTCAGAGGTGTTTGCTTTCTGTTAAGTTCAAGTTATCATTACGGAACGCGAAGTCGTTGAGAACTAGGGTTCCCGTTCTCCACGAATTTTATGCTAACATTTGAATGTTTCGCTAATGTGTTCTATATGTTCTGATAGCCAATTTCGTGCTCTATAACATAACATAAAAATCAGTTCTCCGGAGCTGTTTACTTTCTGTTAAGTTCAGGTTATCTTTACGGAACGTGAGGTCGATGAGAATTAGAGTTCCCGACTTCTCTCCTCTCAACCGCTGTCCACTGAAGCTTCAAAGCTCCTAGAGCAGCTCAATAGAATCGCCATGGTTTGAGTAAGGCTTAGAGTAACAGATTAGTGTTAGGACAGCTCTTAGCGAATTTCCCGAGCAGCATCAGCAGCTCTGATACCTCTGTTGAATGCGAAAAGGAGGAGATGTCTGAAGTGCTGATGCTTATCGACCTGACATTCCATATTATCCACCTGAAAAAAAAGGTTCATCAAACGGATTTTCAAAATAACTGCAACGCAGTGTTATAGAGCACGAAATTGGCTATCAGAACATATAGAACACATTAGCGAAACATTCAAATGTTAGCATAAAATTCGTGGAGAACGGGAACCCTAGTTCTCAACGACTTCGCGTTCCGTAATGATAACCTGAACTTAACAGAAAGCAAACACCTCTGGAGAACAGATTTCTATAGCAGTGTTATAGAGCATGAAATTTGCTATCAGAGCATGCAAAACATATCAGCGAAACATTCAAATATTAGCATAAAATTTCAGGTGGAACAGACGTGAGCTGCCCAATATCGGCGAGGTGAAGGTTGGTAACTTCAAAATTCTTGAAATTCGTTCCAAAGCGTCCTAGTGAGATTCCCTTCGCTGGAAACTTTTAGCAACAATTTTTTACGCACACATGTATTGGAGCAGCTTACGATTTTATTATCACTTCGAGCTAGACGTAAATAGAGGCAGTTGTCGAAGGTGCTAATTTTCGCCGACTTCGCTTTCAACTTCAACGACTAAAAATCCACAAAAATTATTCCCTCAACCAAAGCCGTTTTGATATTCTAAAACTACGTGAAGTTTCCTATCAGATGATATCAAGCTTGCTAGCAAAACATTTCATCTTTGGAACGAAATTTCCGGTTGAAAAAAAACGAAAGTACTTATGTGCCAACCCAATAGTTAGGCTTCAGCGCTTCTTCCTGAGCTTGGAGACGATAATTTCCTTCTTATTAAACAGCTGTGTGTTTCTACTGCTTGAACTAAGAAGTTCCGAGAGGAAGAATTAACTTAGATTGGAATTTATGCTTTTTGCAAAGGTATACATTAGGCAGAGGCGAAAAAGTGGTTATCAGGTCTTACGTATGATCATGAAATCAACATTAAGCACACCTTGAAGACAATAGGAACGTTTACCTTGTAAACGGTGCTCCCGTCTAATATCTATTGCGGCACAAATTTGGGAAACACCGGTCCATTTCGAAGCCTTGCCCCTGTGGCCACGCCCACCCGGTATATCTACGGTGCACGCACCCTCCATAAAGTTGGTAATCTTAACGTTTCCGCCAGATGTCCCTGATCGTCGGAGCCGAAAGCCAAAAAATTTTCCCTCAAATGCCTGG